GCTGCTAAAAGTCCTCGTTTTTCTTGCTCTTAGTACCCACCGAACTCCGGGAACGCTCACGACTAGTACCAGTGGCACTGGAAATGAGGCCTCACAGATGGAGTCTCTGTATGTTGAAGCCCAGGTACCCAGCAGCTCTTGCTCAGTGACCAAGGCCGACACAACGTCCACACAAGCTGCGGGCAGTGTAGCTGTTGCTGGATTCTGAACACGCAAAAGTACTGAGTAAGTCACGCCAGTCCAGAGGATGTCAGTAAGGGCGAGCTGGATGGTCACGCTGTGGCTGCCAAGCAGAAGGCTGGGACTACTGCTGAGACGTGCGTAACCGCCCACCTGTACTTCGGCGACAATGACCTGGAAAGTTGTTGGTACATCGATGCGCAGCAACCCCCCGCCCGTGAAAGTGATTCCTGAATCAATATCGATCTGCACCGTGTTGTCGGATCCAGCTGCCACGTTTCGTGAGTAGCTTATTAATGCAGAAGGTACTGGTGCGATGCTCAATCCAGCATCTGATGCGATAGCAGCTTGCGCTGGCTGGCCAAGCTGTTGTGCTTGAGCGTACCAGCGCACGCCCAGAGTTCCCGCGCGTGGCGCCTGTAGCCTAAAGCGAAAAATCGTTGGCTCTATGCCAATCTTGCCTGCAGGTATCAGATTGATGGCGTTCAGGCCTATGCTGTCTGCCACGGCTGCCGTGCTGCTATCAGGAAAGCGTACAAAGCTACAGGTGCCTCCTCCTAGGCTCTTTTCAAGGCCGGAAGGAAACAATTACTAATTACCACAGCTGCAAGAACATTTAAGAAAAGGAGCAACGTCTGTTCATGCGACAAGAGTAGTCGAGCCTCCCACAAGCCCGGAGCCGCTTCCAATCTGAACAGAACACGGCCTCACTGAAGAGAAGTCCCATAAAGTAAGGGGCCTGGCCCACAAAAGGACGCTGCCTTGCACACCTGGGTCCACAGCGCTGGTGGCAGAGGCAGCTGCTAAGCGCACCTCGAGGGTAAACTCCTGCTGCGGAGACAGGCTTGGTGCCGACATTCGGAACTCCGACAGCTGCAGGCTAGGCTGTGGCGGCAAGGCCACAATGGTGTTGACTACTATGCCGAACCTATCGATGACCTTGAAGTCCTCCAACAGCTCGCAGAGCAGGGTCCGCTGGCGCAAGACCCCCGGTGCCAACAGCCGCAGGCGTGTGACGAAAATGTATGTTGTGGAGGGCTGTAGAGCATAGTCTGCAAAAAGCGAGAGCTGCAGAGTTCGCCCATCTGCAGAAGTAGCGCATGCACGCGGGGCGGGCAAGTTGACGATCTCTGCTACAAGGTCCTGGCACTGTGTGAGCCCTGGGTCGAAGGCGAGCACTGAAGCGTCCAGAGACGTGAGCCGAAGCACCATTTCGCTCTTCAAAGCTCGATATGCATCTTTGTCGGAGGTGGAGATCTTCACGACAAGCGGCAAGCTGTGTCCTCAGACAATTGCATGGGCGAGCAATCTCCTGTGAAGCCCACCAAAAACCGAAGACCCCAAAAGCCATCCCACAACTCGGCATACCTTATTCTTCGACATATCTTCATGCGAAATGGCACGTTTCCTGCACAGCTCGGGCACTGCACCATGATGGCAACAATGATCGTCCCCGCCATAACCAATGCAAACATGATTACGCCATCCGCTTCACTGTACAAGACACATGCAACCTCAAGTCAAGTATCATCCCTCATAAATACCCACTGTATCTGTGTACTATCCTGTCGAATCGTGACAATAGCAAGAGCAACGAAACATGTGTACCCACATGAAAGCCTGCAGAATCACCTTGTTCTTATTTTGACGAACCCTTTGCAATGTTGCTACTATTCATGAATATTATTACCACCCTGCACCGTCTTATCCCCTGAGCCCTAAATCCAGTTTCCAGAATGGATCCTTACAGTAGCCCCTATATAATTCCCAGTGGCATAGTAATAGTAGTGACCATTTCCTTTTCCATTAGGAAGATTACTAAGCTATTGCCCAAGGTCCGCTGGCGATCAAGGTCATGGGCCAAGCCTCGCCTCCGGCTGGCAGCAATGAGGCTGCCAGGGGCACCTGGAGGGTTTAGGGTCGCAAGAATGGAAGTGAACATAAAAACTGCAAAAATGGCGGTTATTAGGGTTTAGGGATATTACCCCAATAATGGCGAATCAAGTGAAAATCAACATGGACCATGAAACGGAATGGGATTGTATAACTCACCTCTGGTTAGAGAGGAATCAAGGCATGGACAAGAAAAATGGAAGCAACCATCTTATTGTCGGTATTGGGACTGCAGTAAGGATCCAGTCCTTCATTCCTTGCCAACCAGTTGTAAGTTTTGAGATTTTGGGTTGAAGGGCCACCTAAACCTCCCAATATCCGCGAAGATGATCTTGAACCCCAGAAATCCTGGGTGTACAGGTTGTTATATTGAGTGCTTGGGAGGTCTGAGTCTAGTAGGGCTTAGGCTTTTGGGGTTCGGGAGCCCATGCCCCCCCTGGGACTTTTAATCCTTCCCAAACATCATGTATAAAGAAAAGCACTAGATGAGTTAAATCCCTCTTACCAGCAGACCCTCACGCATTGAAATCCGTGTCATGTCAGGGGGGTAGGATTGCAGGTTTGTAGTTGAGCATCTGAAGTTTCGCTGAAGGTACAGCACCCCCAGGACTTTCTGGAGAAGGCTTGTACTATGATTGTCAATTGCACACGGAAATGTGTTCGAAATACTTCGGGACAAAGAGGTGTGCGTGCGTGTACAAGTACAACCCCCTGTATACATACGCACCCAGGATGGTCATGTAACGATTGGGCATGATATGGATTCTATGCCACTCGTAGCCAACATGTAGGAATGACCTATCATTATTGGGCTTGTTTTGCGAAGATGACATGCGCATAAATGCACGGGTCACGGATTGTGTGGAGAAGATCTTGGGGCTACATGTCTGCTACGGTGGATGGAGGACATCTTTCACCACCTACATAGTAGGCATCTTCTATGGCGTGATGATGCATGCCCACAATGTTTGTAAAACTGGCAGCTGTTCTGCATGAGGCGGTGCAAGATTTCCGTCATTGGAACATATATTTTGGAGGCTTTCAAGAGGTACGGTGTGTAAGAAATCTACGTTGCAAAAGCGGTGCGAGATTTCATCCATCCACAATTGGCCTCTCATTTTCTTGTAAATTCTCCTGTGGAGACGTGCAGAAGGAATTCTTTGAATCAATGAGACCACAATTCCAGATAGCCAAGCCCTCAACCAATCGTCAAAAACCTCTGCTCCGAAAAAGGTCTGCTCTCATGCAAGCCAAACTCCCAAGGCGTCATTTCATACAACCGGGAAGCCCCCAAAAAGGTGTGCCCTAAATGTGAGCGTTCCTTGTTTGCAGGTTCAAAAATCGGGTACTTGCCACAGTTGGAATGGCAAGTCTGAAGCCCAAACCTGTTGAAGCCCCTAGCAAAAATGCTTGTGGAGTGGTCAGGAAACTCTCAGATGGACCAAGGCACGCAGAAAGCAAGGATGCAGAAGCCGATCGCAAAGCATGTGCCAGGGCTCGCGGAACCTGGGGTAAATGCAGGAAATATTGCTCCAAAAGTTTGGGGGCTCCCATACAAGTGCTGCCTAGTTGTCATCTTTGCACATCTCAAAAGTCGAACCTCAGCAATAAACTTCCTGAAAAACAACCAGGCCCAAAAAGAAAGTGCTCCAAAACCTAGACACGTGCCTCTCTGCCTCTCTATGCTACCCATGTAAACGGGCCCCTATTTCTTCAAAACCTCCAAGTCAGTCCAAAGAACATCTTGGCATATGCTGCACCCAGGCCGATGAGACTTTTAGCAGCGGATTCAGGCATAGGGCTGAGGATCTAGTTTAAGCGGACTTTTGGAAAAGGATTCAAAGCATAGGGCCGAGGATTTAGTGTTTGGGGTGTAGAGCCGAGGATGTCTGATTCAAGGGTTTAGGGCTTCTATTTGAAGACTCTGTGTAGTAGCCGATTCACGACGATACCAGAAACCAGATGTTTATTTCTGCTTTTGTTGGATTCCATCAATTTTTGGGTCCAGACCCTAACCTAAATCCTAAGCTGCATAGGAGGACCTGACTTGTGTCACATGTGCTTGCGGCGTTGGATCCTGAGGCTTGCGGCGGCCGAAGCGCAGGATACCCATGCGATGTCAGGGTTCTGAGCCAGCGCTGAGGATTTAAGGCTTTAAAGTTTCAGTTTGTAGGCTTGAGGGTCAACAGGTTTTCTCTTTGATATCTATCACTTTTTGTTCCTAAGCTGCTAGAGTCTGGAATGCCATTCGGCAAGGAGGGCAGTGAACCTGACGTTAAGCCGGTTAAGGATTCGAGGCTTAAGTATGAGTTCCAGAATTCATTCAAAGTTCAGGGGTTTCGCGTTTTAGGATTCGCCAGGTAAAGCTTGAGGGTCATGATTTAGGTCTCGTGCTTCGGGTTTTTGTGAGGGCATGTATCAATGTGGCGGATCCGCATTTTGAGGAATGCATTAGTTCCGCGTTTTGAGGAATGTGTTCGTTCCAGTCAACGACTTCCTTTAAGACTTGTGATGCTATCCAAAACGTTGTGAAATGAAGACATACCTTGGCAAGCCTACAATATCCATGACCCAAAGGCCACTTCGAAATCTCTATCACTAGCAAAATGGTGGTTCTGCAAAAAAGCCCTATACTATCTAGTGATCCTGAGAAGATTACGTTTAGCCCCCAAAGAACTTTGGGGACGATTTGTGAGAAACAACAATATTAACAGGCAGAGTCTCTAGGGTTGCTAGCAAGTTGAATGCTGCAGAAGCTTGTTTGATCCGTGGAAAAGAAGATTTTCCGCCTGCACTTCTAAGACTGGAGTCCGAAATGCTGACCCAAATCCTTAAACGCTGAGCCCCCGGCCCAAAAACCAAGAAGCACTGATATATTTTTTGCTCAGCACGAGGAGGCACGCTACCCGCGGAGAGTCGCTGAAGCCTCAGAAGCATAGCCTCGCAAAGACCGTGGTCGCTTACCTCCCTCCATTTTGACACACATCAAAGCAGTAGCACATGGGCAGCGTTTGCAGTTAAGGCGAAGGTTTCGGAACAGACCTGACACTGGAATCTCCCCGAGGTTTCGAGGCTCGAGGTTTGAGGCCGAGGTTTGGATGTTACGAGGTTTGGAGGTTTTGAGGCTGAGGTTTTGAGGTTCGAGACTGCGAGCTTTCGGGTTGCGAAGTTGCAAGGTTTGGAGGTTTCGCCCGCCATTTTTGCCAAATCTATTGCCAGGTATGAGTTCAAAGGTTTGCTTCATATCACGGTATGAATTGTTGCTGCTGGTGTTAGTATCGCTAAAAATCTCATCACCGATGCATCAGTACTGCTGGCCATTGCTGCTGGTAACAACAACACTCACTGCATATCACTTCAACATTTCTGCTACTGCTCCTCCTTTTCCTCCCTCTGCTCCTTCCACTGGTGATGGTGTTGGGGTGTTCAGCAGGCAAAACTTATGAGATGGCAGTTTCTCAAAATAGGGGGACCCCAATCAAGATCCCCAAATGCCATAATCCCTATTATGTGCACCCCCAAAAAAGCACCCCTATTTTTTGGGGGAAGCCCTAGAATCCTTGTAATCCACCTATAACCCCCAGTTTCCATTTCATTTTTCTATTGTTTCCATTTGATTCTCGATTACTGGGGTAATAATGTACACTGTCGGCTTTGAGCCTTTTGCCCACGAACAGCAATATCATTGTGTTTGAGGGTTTGCGTGTGCGGTTCGTAGGGAACCAGGGAATGTAGTATATAGGGACTATGTAGGGATTACATTCCCTGGCTCCCTACTAAGCAGCAGAGAGAACACAATAAGAACGATAGTGCCATTTCACTAGTACTCAGTGGAATAGTATTAGCTAGTTCTCATAGTAGACCTCCTCAGAATGAACACCGCCACATATTAGGGAGACTTTTTTCATAAGGGAGGACTTTACCACGGGGAAGATTATGAGGGCAGTGGGCCCCGACCCCGTGGGCGACAAAACACCGGGGCTTGTCAAAATGGAGTTACCTGGGCGACCCGCATCATACACGGGATTGTCTCCAGCGGCCCCTGTGTGCCATCCTGAAAAATCATCCTAGAGGACACCGGTGCATTGGCTTGATGTGTCCAGAACGCCTCAGTTTGCTCCGTAAATGTAAGCGTAGGGGCCAAGGATTCCAGACTCTTTCCCGGCTCTGTCCGACCACTAGACATCTCGGTCAACATGCGCACCACAAGGCCTAAACATATCTAGATGAGTGATTGCCACGCGTCTTAGGTAATGCCTGTCTGTAGCTTCTTTGCCTGTCGACAACTAGCAAAGAGCTCTACACTCTACACCTCTCTTACCATGTATTTGAGAAGCATCCTTATCCATAACACTGTCAACCCATTCCACGAGCACTCCTACTGCTCCTACTACAACAACAGCTGCCACGACAATCACCTTCTAGTACTTATGCCTTTTATAGTTTAGTATCAATTAGTATCAGTAGTGCTCCTCCACCTAATGAGCCACGCCACGCCAGTCTTGCCAGCGCAGCATCAGTCTCCTGAGAGATTAGACGCACCAGGGACTGGCTTCATGCTGCGAGTTGGATGTCTCCACTTTTGGGATTGCAGGCTTTTGATGTGGATGTATACAGACAGCTCTCTAGGTTTTAGGGGCCGTTTTGGACCCGCTGAACAGAACGGCCCTGAATATTCGAGACTTTCGATCACCGAAAGATGCCCAGAATGACGAACAGCATCCTTGCTACTTTAGTTCGGGTTTTCGGGCTCTGTGGGTCCTGATCCAGGACCAAGCGATTGCATCTCGCTGCAAGGAAGGACTGCAGCCTCCTGACGCGGTCCTGGAGAAGAGCAAGTTAAGCTAGGCCGTGGATTTGGAGTTTAGCCCCCTAAAGAGTCCAAGTAAGTTGAGACCTTCTGGAAGTACTAATTCTGTTGTGCCAACTGCCTGTTGAAGTTACTTTAGGGCAAGTGTTCCCATACCTATACCAAGACTGACTTTAGGATGTGGCTGGGATGAGGTGGCGGTTACATTGGCTGAGAGTTGCAAGTCGTGATGCTGGGTTGCCCCTCAGAGAAAACCTGATCATTTTGGCCCAAACATACACCAAAAAACGACGAAAAATACCGAAAGATACTGCAAGCAACTACATTTGGGCTTTAACACATGTATCTACATGATATAGAATCTGTAATTGTGGTCCCCCAAACAGACGCCCAAGTATACTGCACCAATACTCAAAGGGAAACTGACCATTTTTCAAAAAGCTCTAGCCAAAAAGCTACCCTGTGTACCACTGCACGTAATAATGACCAACCCAATCTTCCTGCCTGCATTGCGTAGCCTACCATGGCCCCGCGTGCAGCCGCATGGTTAAGGACGCGAATGTAGGCAGACACCTGATTCTTGAGTTCATCATTTCAGGGGTTCGCATATGGCTCAGGGCAATTTGGGGACGGCCCGGGTTCTAGCTTGGTGTGTTCCCAGGCCTTCGTAATGAGAACATATGAGAACATACCCTTGAGCACAGTATGGAGAGGCAATGTTCTTTAGAGCTGGGGGTTGACCAAGAATCAGAACAAAGGATACTTCCAAATAGAAGAAAGTCCAAACCAATGGTTTATAGCACACTCCTTCAACAACACTGAGAATTGCCGCATGATTTACAGCTGTTGCTTAATGAACAGAATTGGACTCTGTGGGGAATTTTGAGCCCAAGCTATGCGGTCAAAATTTGCAGGTCTCGTCTCGTCATCTACCCAAACCCATACATGGTTCCGTGTCAACTTATCGGCAATGCCCCCACGGTATGATCTCAAGGAGGGGGAAGGGGGAAATCAGGTCAGCATCTTCAAGAAAGTTGTTGTTTTCATGATTATGGTATGGGCCCATGTGTCTTTGTCTGCAAGATCTCAGAATTGCCAATAGTCACAGGGATGGGGCGGCAGTTTGGGACACCATCCCTGAGATTGTGATCGAATTGGCATTTGAGCGTCTTCTCTTCTTTAGCATAATAACCTTTTTCGATAGAAACACATCTATAACTGATTTTGGCAAATTCCGTATCAGCACCACACCGTCTAACACTTTTGCATTACATACTTCCTCAATTTTGTCGAGCCTCCCGCGCTTCCATACCGACAGGGGGGGGGGGGGGG